TAAAATAATAATTTTAAATAGAATCTATTTTTTCATTATAACCTTACTTTCTAACAACACTTCAACAGAAATACCTGTTTTATAAGCAAGAGTGTGAAAGTAATTTGACCAAATACAGATGACAGGCATTTCTAGGCTGTATTTTAATACAAGTCTCTCAAACAATCAGATGAATGATTCCCTGGAAGGGTTCATTCATCTTAGATTAATACTACATTTCCTGTGGCATGTATAGTCTGTAAATATTGGAAGATGAAAAAGTAAAATTAAAAGAGATTTAGCACCCAGTATAGAATACATCAGAGTATCAATTTCCAAAGTAAAAGGGATTATTTAGAAGGAATATTTATATTTTGTATAGTACAAAAATCTTATTCCAGAAAGGACATTCTCTCAAGAGGGGAATTAGTAGGTCATCTCTCAAATCTCAACTAAATTCATTAACCAGAAAGCCTGCATCATTTGACATATGCAGATAATGTCTCTAGTGAAACATGATCATTGCACATTTCCCAGAAGTAGTTTACACAAACCCTCAGAATATAAATTCTCAACAGATTTTTAATACAAATTATAAACTACTATACTAAGCACTGCAAAACAGGATCCAAAATCAACTACCAAACATGTTCTTAAAAATGTCCAGGCTCAGATTTACCATGTCTTTTTAATTTAAAAGTTTACTGAATTTATGGTTTGCTGGCTGCCACTCTACTGCCATGTGGGAAGCCCAGTGGAGCCACATCTTTTTACATATATTTTTAATTACATATATTTGCAAAGTATTCGCACAAGCTCTTCACATCTTGGAGTACAGAAAACAAGTGTCACATCTGTAAATTAGTGCTTGTAAAATTAAGTAACAACACATTCCTGGTTCTCTGTATGTTGGCTAAGGTAGAATTTGCTTCTCAATGCCTTATTATTTGAATTTTAGAGTCAGCCTGCTTGCTCTTCACTATCAAGCTCTAAATAAAAAGCTACGTTTAAGATTACCCATGTCCTGCGTCTCTTTTTCAGTCTTTGACGTTTGGGTAGATAATGCAGTATCCAGTAACTGCAGAACTCAATAAGAAATAGCAATTAGCCACTTCTTTAAAAAAATAAAATAAGCTCAACTTTTTCAGTTATAACAAGTGTCATCTGAGGTCATCTTAGAAGGCTCATAAGTTTTAGAGACTCCGTGTTCCTCACTAGCAAGCTATACTGACCACTATGTAAGACTCTTCATCCCCACACCACTAGGCTGCAACTGTGGATTCATACCTCCAGGTAAGAGTATTTCTACACCTTTTATTACAGAATAATTTGTTTTTTCCTTATTAAAAAAAAGAAAAAATTAAATATGATGTAGTGCTTTAAATGAAATTGTTTATGCATAGTGACAGGTAACAAAATAAGTGGGGTTAACAGCAACTGGCAAGGGAAAAAATGCAGTCGTGAAATCAAATGATACTTTAAAAAAAAAAAAAGAGAAAGGGAACTCCTATTCAAATTTTGTGAAAACTGGAAAGCATCACAGACAAAGTTTTAATATGCAGAATATCTCAATTCACACAGTATAATTAACTACTTTGATTTATATTCCCTAAAGTAACTGCAGAGAGAATGTAACCTAGAGAGAATGACTTACAGAGATTTTAAAACAACCCATATTTAAGAAGCTAAATACATAATAATTAGCAGTATCTTTTTTTTAAAAAAAAAGTTGGAGCGGTGAAAGTATTAATACTTTTTTTTGTTTTATTAAACACTAACATACCAGCAGTTGAATGCAAGTGCAGGTTAAGTGAAACAGTATTCTCATTTCATACCATCCGCTAGTTAACTTGAAGGATTCCAGAATTTATATAAAAAGCACAGAAAGGTAGTAAGATTCATAGATAGCCAGTAAAATGCTTGCACTTTCTTATGCCTTGCACGTCTAACAAATAAGCCCTGTGCTCTTTCTGAAAGGTTCCATTTATTCTCCAGAATAGGCCATTTCCACAACTATGATTCCCTCATTAAACAATGTGATTTATCAAGTCTGTACATAAGACCACAGTCCAAGTATCCCTCATAATCAGTTTCCCCTCCAGAACCAAAACAGAAAGGGTTTTCATGCAAGTGACAGAAATGCTAGTGAGACAAATCAAATCTCTGAGAAATAAAGCCTTAAAATAGGCTTTGTTTTGGATTGTGACCACTGCAAAGCACTGATAAGGTGTATTCTCATATACCAGACCTTCTAACAAGCTCTCTGCAACTGGCTGGACAAGAAGTGCCTCCAGATAATCTCCTAAAATGACCTACTCTATAATGTGTGTGAGACAAATACACAGATTGTGATGTCAGACAGTAAAGATGCCAGGCCAGCTGAAGATCAAGCTGTGCAACGAGTAGGGGTGATGGGTGTCATTATTTATTTGGTTTAGGTTTAATGAATCTTACTCTCTGAAAACCTTACAATGTTCGGTTTCTTCAAATCCATGGTCACAAAAGATGGGAAGGAAATACCTATTTATTAGAAAGTGAGGGTAATGCTTTAGTTCATATTTGAAAATATTTCACTATGGGAACCTGCACTGCTGTGGTTTTTGTATGTAGAAAACCCGCAGCAACTGTATATACACATATACAGGTCAACCGTGTGTGTAGGTACTCACTATATATACTTTTACACATATGCACACATACTTACATGCCAGATCAGTTCTGATACATCTGTTCTTTTTTTAAAATCCCACTTAAGAGACTTTTCAAAGCTTATGAATGTTACAAATTTGCACTTCAGAAGGAAAGTACATTTTATTTTATGTTGTAAGCAGGCAGCCTAAATGTAGTAGGGAAGTAAAATGCAGGGTGGGCACTAGGCATGGCTCCTGCATAAAAATACATCATTCTGCACAAATACATCTTATTCCACAGACTCCAATTTGCCTTCTGAACTGCATTTCTTATTCAAAAGATCAATGAATTAGCTGGTTCGTAAACATAAATAATGTATTTTATGTATTATATCCCAAGAATAAACTCTAACAACACGATACACAAGCTAACAAATGCAACACAACAGCTCCCTTTATGATTCCAACTAACCTTCTCAAATAAAACTAGAAAAATTAGAACCTGGAGTCTCATTTTGAGACACATTTCCATAACAGTGTGTCCTAGTAAGAGTATGAACATGCCAGAGTTTCTAAAGCCAAGTCAATACTTACTCTTAATGTGTGATGCTCTTGTGCGAGCAATGCTGTGACCTCCTCTTGTAAGGTAATGACCTCCAGAAATTGCCCCCAGAGAGCCATTAGAAGTGAGCAAAGCTGAGCAAGATTCATATTTATAAGTTCTGCCAGTTCATCAGGGTTTTCCATTTTCTGAAGTCAGGAAAACACATTTACATGATTAACAGATGAGACCAGAATGCACAGACAAGAATAAAAAAACCCCGTACTTTGTCTTAGTGAGAATTTTAATTTAAAAAGGAACTTCCAAATGAGTCTAAGTATCAGAATTGAATTCACTTATGTTACAACACTAACAAATTATTTTACATTCCTTTAAATATTATCCAGTTGTCTTTTAGAATTAAATTAATTGACCTTAAATTAAAGCAACAATTCCATTTATGGCAACCGTAACTGAGTTGCAACTGTTGTATTTTCTAACATGCAAAAATATAGTGTGCCTGAAAGGAATTAGAATTAGGAAACAGAAAAATGATACTCGGTATGTTAGTCCAAACTTGATACAATCGTAAAAATTTAATAAAGACATCTCCATTTCAGAATGGCCACAACTTACAATAACATTTATATGATGCTATATATCTACATACACTTTATACATAATCAGGAAGCAGTGTTACAGTATAGGCTTTCTAGAAGCAGATCACACAAAGACAAATTCAGTGCAAAACAAGTTTTTCTTTCTTAACAATGTGCTGTAATCCTGTGATATAGTGCCACACAAGTTAACTGTAGACTGCTAAGCTTAAGTTCCCTGCCCATTTCACAAAAATGTAGTTTTTCAGAAACTAACTGCAGGCAGATATGGCACTGAGGCAAAAGGTTTAAGAAGTAAAGACCCAACTTCAGCAATGCTAAAGAGCAATTAGAAAAAAAGAACTGCGAATACTGAAACACCAACTTAGCAGGTGAGCATGGAAATAAGAGGAGGAAGAACTTTTGATGAGAACTGCACAAAAGAACAAAAAGGAGAAAAAGGAAAAAATATAAACATAATTTTGCAAGCTAAGGGAGAAACTAAAGAATTCACAGAAGCTATGTAAATGTAGAAAAACTTTTAATATATAAAGTAAGATTATTAGCTGCCCATAGAGAGCTGTGCTGCCTCTGTCTCCAGTTATACAAATAATACGCTTTTAAAGCCAGTATTCTACTTCCTTGCAGTTATACTACTTCTACAGTAATGAAAGGTAAACCTACTGCTCTGCAAAAGCTGGGCAGACAGTCCACTCAGCAGCAAAGCACAGCAATCTTTCAAAAAAGTTTTAAAACCTGTGTTTTAAACTTTGCTGTTACAATGAAATTAGCTACTCAGCTGGGGCTAGTTCTGGCTAAGGAGAGAATTGGCGAGACAAATCTAAGTAATCGGAAGTAGACAGTATTTCTTTGAGAATGCACAGAAAGGCAGCATCAGGACAAGACCTTTGAGATGAAGGGATGACTTGGAGAATCTGCTTTGGTACAATGTACTACTACTGCTTGATCTTCTAACATTGTTAGGTGATACCATCAAAACCAAAGAATTCAAATTATAAATGCAGTAATCCACCTTTCTATAATCTTCAGTTTCATGACATACAAAAGTTACCACGGCTACTACTGACATGCCGAGCCACCAGATCAACAGTTAAGTTTTGGAATCAGCTGAGCAATTTCTCTTTGAACGAGGAAGAGTTGAAGTGTTGGCAAAAAAGATACAGGATGTTATCACTGAAACAAACAGTTTATTCCCAAGCAGCATATGAAATCAGCACTCTACTTTTATAGTTATTTCACTTATTTAATACATGAAAAAAATGTACCTTTACTTCTTCACACAATTCTGTAAGACGAACTTCTACATCTATGTTTTCTGAAAGATGAGAGGACATATCCATGAAAAATGTACTTTCTAGGTTGCAAAGTAAAAGCAATTATCTCACAAAACAATTTTAAAACATTAAATGGAAAGAACCCATCAAATAAAACTTGAAGCCATATTAAGTGCCACAATCAACTTTAAGTAAATTATGAACTCCCATTAAAATAATTTCTTACTAATTTCTGGGACTGAGGACAGAACATGATTAATAAAAAAAAAGGTTTGCAATTGAGTATTGTGATCACTTATCATGATAATTTGTCAAGTACACCCATCTTCCATTCAAAATTATACTGGAAAATACTTTAATTTAGATGATACAGTTTGCAGACTGTCCATTGAGAGCTGCTCAGTTTTTCAGCAGCAATGTCACCATTCACATACAAGGTAATACAATTCCTCTTCTACCTCAGATTTTCCAGAGATACCTTAATTCAATACCATTTTTCTACAGGTGTATATTTACCTGATTTGCAAGCTACATGAATATAAATACAATTCTTTAATTGTCTGAGGAATTATGTTTTAGTCAAATAAAACTGTTCTTTAATTGATCCTGCTCTCAATAGCTCAATGTTAAGAGCAAATCAATCTTCCATGGTACTGCAGCTTAACCTGGATCTAAACCTTGAATGACTTATTTATAAAGAAAACTGATTTATTCCTTCATGTAAGATGTTTTTCGTTGTTAATCATTCCTATTCTACTCAAGGAAATCTGATCAATTAAAGAATAATTTAGTACTATGTTTTGATTTCCTTCTACATCTGAGGTACCAGTAACAGGGGAACAATTTATAAACCCTAAAATTGTCTGTAATAAATATTAAAATTTAAATTCATTTTTGAAACACAATATTAAGGAAAAAACCCCACCATGTTTCTTGAAAGCATACACCAACAAAACATGCCTTGAAAGCCACAATAATAAATTTAGGATATGGATAATTAACATAAGTTTACAGAACGGCAACAGTGTATTTAGTTAACTTGTCTTTGAATAATACTACCTAGATTTGGTAAGTATATATTGATTTTCAACTAACTGCATCCATTACACTTAGGTTTAAACTTAATGCCAAACAAATTAACTCACACAAAAGTTCTGAGAAAATATGCAAATTGCAGAAATGCACGAAGCTCTCAGAAACAAGTTTAGAAAATGTTTTTTGAAGAAACTACAGACATCTATATTAGCTAAACAGTACTTGATAATAATTATTCTGAAAATATATGAAAACAGTTTAAGATATGATACTACTTTTGGGACACTACTGGTTATTTATCTTGTTTGTCACACTGCAATTGAGAATAGGCTTTGAACAACATTTAAAACTCTGCAGTCTAAAATCATTACGGAAAATCCCAAACTACAATGTTATAAATAAAAAAAACCACAACCAAAACTAGAGTGGAAACAATACAAGACAAAAAAATTAAATATTAACACTCTACAGCAGTAATGTTCACCCAGCAAACATCTGATGGAATTTTGCTGGCCCTGCTAAAAATAGTTTTGTTCTCTTTTTAGAAAAAAAACAAAATGCAACTATAGAGAATTAAGCCAGTGACTGAACTGCCATTTTATTCTTTTCCCATCACAAACTTCCTTGTGCTTAAACAGCACTGTCGTCCTTTGTCCAGCATCAGGCCAACAATGACACTCTCCAAAGGGAGAGCTGGCCATTTAGATGTGGACAAATGCACTTTAAGCTTTGAGAATGTCTTATGTAGTGTTTGGAGGAATCAAGCCTTGAGATACCAGAAGTAACCTGAAAGATTTCTCAGTTAGTCTTAAATTATCTAAAAAATTGAGTCTGTGATGAATTAAATGGAAAGTATAATTTTTAGCTACTTTATTTAAATGGTGACAACTGACTGAACTCTTCAATCATTTTTGTTTAGTAAAACAGAACAACACTAAACCAAAAGTAATAATTTCTTGGTTTATTATCTATATTCAGTCTAAAAATAAGTAGCTCAATTCTGTAGACTTTGTCAGAGTTTAACAGACGTTCACTATGGCTGAATGGTGAAATAGTGTTCCTGTTTACAAAAGAATATAATATTTTATATTATTAATAAAAATATAATATCTTGTGTTATTAATAAAAATCTGAGGGGTTATATCACCTGCTTTGAAAACATACCTAGGTAGGCGTCTCTCTGGGTTCGTGGATATTTTCTTCTGAGAAGGCGTTCATAAAGGACCTGCATGCTGGCCTTGGCTAGTTATAGGGATTGCACACACATGACTAGTTACTACACTCCTTTTTTCATCTCTGATTTATTATTTGCCTTAAAGTTAGTAAAAAAGCTTATTGCTAGCCTAGCAATTAGTGCAGTTAGATCAGTACATGAAAGCATATCATTTTAGTGTAGTTTCTAGATTAGATATCACTCGTGATATACATTATGCTAGCATTTTTTATTTCCTGAAACCAATAATACTTAAATGCTCAATTACAGTTATTGAGTCTAACAGTTGTCTGCACATGCTTCTACAAAATCACTGCCTTGTGTTAAAATTATATGACAGAGCAATAGCAAATCAAACAGAAGAAACAAAATTTAAAAGACAGTAATTTAATTTAAAACAAAATGTGATGATTCTGGGATTTAAACAGGACTTGAGATTCTCTTCTGCAATGCCTATTTAATCTTCACACATAAAACCTCCTCTATAAAACAGTTCATTTACTTTAAAAAGTAAAAATAAATGCAAATGACAATTGTGTACTTTGTGAAGTCCAGAGAGCTTCAATTTCTTTATAGACATCACAGAAACACAGCTTTTTTTTTTTTTTACTGCTGATGGATTTAAAAAAAAGTGGTGTTAATGGTAGGCATTAGTTATTTTTCATGAGCAAAAGGTAAGTAATAGTAGCATAATTAATATTTACATTATTAGTCCTTTTTGTTACATCAATTGTTCCAATCAATGTATATACAAAATAACTGAAATAAATGAAAAAAAAAGGATTTACAAATAAGAAAACAAAGTAATTCTAGCAGAGACTTAATAAATAACAAAATAAAACCCAGCGGAAAAGAAACCGTCAGCAGAATATGTGCAACGAATGTTAAATGTAAGTACTAATTTTCTCTTCACGTATTTATTTTGAGCATTTCTGTTCAAGCTTGCATTCCTAAAGGTAAGCTAAATTACCCACAGAAATGACAAAAGGTCTGACTCAAGTTCTACTGAAGCTTATGAAAATGGTTTTTGGTGACTTCAGTGAGGTTTGAAAGATACAACCCAACTATGCAACTCAACGGCCGGCTTTTTTCTATTACATTTATATTTTGTAGGAGTGTTTTAGGGGAACCGAAGGTCCTATCTGAAACATTTAAGTATCAGGATTTAGTCTAAGCTTGTCCTTACAACAATAATGCCAACAGATTCTATTTGGGAAAAAGCACATTTTGTCCTCAAAAGGAAGACGAAGAGTTGAGTCAGTCCTTTAAAAGGGCGTTCCCCTCCATATCAAGATTAACTGACACAGAAATATTCTTTGCACCATAACTGTAGCAATATTTTTGCTTCTATAAAGAAAAACTCTCAGTTTCTGACATTTTTCTATGTACAGGTTTGTTATGCACTCCCTCCCTCAAAAAAATAAAAAAAAGGAATTCAAAAGATAGCTTTGTATTTTGTAATATACAAATGAAACATTCTTTCTTTGAATCACTAATTGACCAGATCACATTTTTAAAATAGGTTTCATATCTCAACTTCCAACCTTGTTGTTTCATAATGCTTAGTTCTGACATTGGTAAAATTAAACAATATAAAATCAGTAACTGCTGTCTACAATCAATGTAAATTCCAAAAGACCTATTTTTTCAGATTTAAATAGAACTTTACATGACTAAAAAGGTATATGCTTGATGAGAAAAAAAAAGTCTAAACCATCCTTTATATTGCCAATGTATTTTCCTTTTTTACTTTCACTGCTCTCCTAGTTCACAAGTTGAGGCTGGGCTCTCTAATACACCTGCATTCTACAGAAATGTAACATACATTTCCATTCATTACATTTAATGTAGTATTTTCACAGTTACTTTTATGAAATGTAGTTACTAGAAGTCTTTGTTGCCATAGAACTTGAATTTCTTTCTAAGAGACTGTCGTCTAAGAGTTTAATTTTAACTTTATTAAAGAAATAGCTTCTCTGAAAGTGTATTTTAACTACTGAGCTTTATAGAAACAGTTCTTGTCTATTC